TCTTACATACATACAACCACACACACACACACATACACACTCCCAAACAAACAAACTCCCACACACACGCAAACAAACAAACAAAAACAAAAACACATATCACGGACACAACACATAGAGAAATAACACATAAATAGATAAATAGACAGAATCAAGAAAGACATGGAACCATCCAATCAATTTTTTCGTAGTGCAAGATCAATAAAAGTGCTTTGGGACGAAATACATTTACTTACAAGAAAGAAGGAACGTGCTTGAAGAAAGTTGTCTCAAGGGAACATTCTTGTATAATGTCTTGGATATAATAAACAGCGATAAAGTAATTTCACATAAGATAAAAGGACATTGTGACACATGTAGAAAAATATATGTAAATGAGTATTTTAAAAAATCACAGAGCCAGGGGTGTAATAGATGCCTTTCGGTTAAAAAAATCGCTAGAATTATATAATAAACATTGTATACAAAAATAGATCTATTAAAATATAAGATAAAAGTTTCGAAATTCTTCTCCTGGATTTAATTTTTGAGTGTGGAAATTAAATTCTTCAGATGGTACGTAGAAGGATATCGAAATTGTTGTTTTTACTTTTTGTATGTAGATTTTTTTTTTTTTTTTTTTTTTTTTTTTTACTATTGTCTAAATTTGATAGCGTTTTATCAGTAATGTCAAAAACATTAATTTTTCTATAAGAAGCAAAAATGTAGTTTAGATCTATTTCCGTTTTTTCCCCTTTTTCGGGAACCTTTTCATGTATTTTGAGAAAAGAGAAAAATAAACATCGTCAAATTTCGCTTGAACTCAAGAAACCTCTAACATATTCGTCAACTATTTCACAGTTGCTGTTCATAACAACGATAGTGATCTAAGTTACAAGTCGCCTTTCTATGATCAAGCATCCTATTCTCAACTTTCATCTCTAATCAATTAAATCTGGTATTGAATGAAAATCTTTTCTGGGGAATCTGAATGGTCCTTGATTTCAGTTGATACCATAAACTCTAACTCTATAACACGATTTTAGAGTTTTTATTGCATACTTCATTTGCATCTGTTTGTAACTTCACAAACAAATTAATATTGAAAGTAAATAATGGTATCAACACCACGGCGATTTTATCTTTTATGTAGACGCATCTCCCTCTATAAAATCTACACACATACCCAAGATCTACAGAAATTGGTCAAGTATCCCCTGCCCCGTATAAAATCTACACACATACCCAAAATCTACAGAAATTAGTCTAGTATCCCCTGTCCCTGCATCTGCAAGGAACGCCTTAGGCAAAATTCCGAACTTACAACGCTGGTGTGGTCTGGATCTCCATGTCAGACTTCTGTGGCTTCGCTGTCTGGACCTCCGTGTGATCCCTGGCAGTTGGTGTTGTCTGAACCTCGAATGTGTTCACATGCCCACTCTGAGGCTCGTCTGGTTGGCTGGCGTGCCCTGGTCTCTCCGGGGTCTCGACTGGCGGGAGGTCGACGGCAGCGCCAGGTGTGTTTTCCGGCCTTTGGGACCGACTGGTTTGTGGGCGCATGGAAGGTATACATGTTCTGTGTTAGGCTCTTGGTGTCTCGCTCGTTTTCGTTTATTTTTGCTCGTTTTCTTTTTTTCATGTATGGGTGACTCTATTAAATGTTATAATGAGATTCAGGAGACTGTTGGGTGTGCCACGTTGTCCGTTCGGGGAAGATGAAATGGTGTGTAAGGAGGTTTCAGAGGAGCCTCTGGTATGTCAAGAAATACGAGGCTTGAATCGTCAAAATTTTACTTGACTGGTCACAATTAAACAAGTTAATCCCTATATATGAAAGTAGGGTATATGCTGTAAAGATTATGATGTGCACAAGCAAGCAGGCATAAGTAAGCATGTGAGAGCATCAAGCAGGCGAGGTACAGAAGCAGAAAAAAATATGTATTCAGTATAAGCTCATAGTTTTATCTGTAGTAATGGTAATCTAACAGAATTTCGAAGCAAAACCCCTATGACTTTACTCATTAAAGCCATCTGTTTACTGTAATTCTACATCATTTCCTGTGTGCAAGAAATGGCCGAGTTACCATTCACTAGCAGTGCAGGACTTGACCTCCGGTTAACAAGATTGCCAGCCGAGCACAACCAGTGCACCGCACTCTCTCTCTCTTTACTTATTTATTTATATATATTTATATATGTATATATATGCATATTCACATATATTCACACAGCACACTGGTTCTAGTTTGTAACTATGTCTTCATTTATATCTTTGCAGATGCTTGCGCTTCCATGAGACTTCAGCCATGTCTGCTTCATTAAAGCTCAACGTACTTAAAACAGTAATTAATTCACGTTATGCAAGTCCTTGAAGCCCGGCGGTCAAGTGTAAGTAGATGACTGAAAAGTAATCTTCAACTGTAAAGCTTGGAGAAACACGGTCATTGCCAAAGTAGTAATAGCGGGGAGTAGCAGAACCAATATAATGGCTGTAAGACCAATATAAGGTTGTAAGTTGTGATATGGTAAGCGTGTTTTGATTTTGGGATTCTCTGCTGGATTTGTAATTTTGATAAAAATGTAATGGAATCTAAAGAATTAACAAGAGTTACACGTGATAAATTCGCAGGAAATCACAGATTATAGGGGCAGTTATAATAAAAGATAAAAACACCGAAGGAAAACACGATAAACAGAATAAGAAATAACAAAATCATTCACCAAAACTTTTCCCAAAAAGGATTAGATAACATGAATCAACTGTTTTGTCCATAATTTTATTCATGCCAAAAAGGTCATTCACATCACCCTATTGTCATGCATATAAGGTATCAACATATTCATCAGGCAGATCATGCAGGTAGCAACATAGCAACATAATGGATGCAAATCAATATTGCTCACATCTGCCTTCGTCATCCATCCACAATCATCAAAAAAACTCTTCAGACAATTGGTATCAACACAAGTGGGGAGGAAAAAGATCCAAAAGTATGGGTAAAATTCGAAAAATAAAAATAATTGGAAAATTCAAAATTCCAAAAAATCGAAATGCATAAAAATTCTAAAACAAGAAAAAGGATGTGTCAATGAAATATCAAAAAATACTTAAGAGAGAGAAAAAATGGGTTGGGGGTGTCACAAAAATATAGATGTATGCAAAAATATAAACAGAAATATGTACAAAAACGACACAGCCCCTAAGGTATGGGCTGTGAATAATACATTATATATATATATATATATATATATATATATATATATATATATATATACACATATTGTAACAAAACTTTTGTTCGTTATTCTTACACTAAACCACAAAAATGCACCGAATTTTGCCGTCATCAATTTTCCAAAAAGGAAAAGAAAACGGAACTCACACTAACCCACATAAAAAGCCTCAAGTGTTTTATGTGTCAAGGAAAGCTTAGCCGCTGTGGAAGCATTTTAAGCGGGTATTACACAATGTTGAAAAATGTAGAACCTGCATCACGATCTTTGAGTTAATCATATTAAATACTTATAAATATCTTCCTCTTTGCTTTTATAATATTTTCCTTTAAACCGGGAAAATGTTACATAAATAACTAAGCTATTTATATCTTAAGAAAAGTACAATATTTCTCTTATTATTAGATATTTGAGACTATCAATATTGGCTATTCATGTCACAACTAATTGGTCCCATCTAGTTACTTATAAGTAGGCTTAATAATAACAGTAACTTAAATATTGGGTGATACCCGCTGTGTTATGGAAGCTGTGTTTCTCTTTTCCTAACAATGGAAGCATATTACCCTGAAAGTTAATAATTGCAATTTGTAATATGCCATTCTGTTATTTTTTCTTTGATATTGTATAGCAAAACATAATGGCAGTAGCAATAATGGCAGTAGTAATATTAACAGTAATAATGATAATAAACCTAATGATGGTAATAGTCATAATAATGATAATGATAATAAAATGTCAATGATAAAGATGTTGATGATAAAAGTAATTATGAGAATGAGAATGATGCTAATTATCATAACATTGGAAATAATAATAATAATTGAAACTATCATCATTATCAATATTATCATTAGCATCACTACTATCATTAATATCATTCATTACTACCATTACGATCATTGCCATTAGCACTGATACCATTATCATCATCCCTACAATAACAATAATACCAAGACCAACAGCAAAACATAAAATATAGTAAGACGACCAGCGCGCCTACCGGTTATAGCCCTTCTGAGGAACTGGGACTGCCGGTGTCAACGGCTTCGGTCGTTTCCGGTCGTCACTTGTCCTGGGCATTTTGACAGGAGTGGTCGGTCTATTAGGAAGAAGGGGGGAGTGGTTAGTGCTCCAGAACGTTTGTTTACGCGTTTCCTCGGCACTGCTGTCTCTGGGCACCGTTGGTAACAGCTGTCTCGGGAGGTTGTGGGTGAGTTCGGGGGGTGTTTTGTGAGTAAGGGGGGGGAGGGGGGTTCGGCTCAACTGTTTTGTTAACTGGTTGAGTGGTTGGGTTTGGGTGTATAGTTGTGGATAGCTGAAGTTGCGATCGGGTGTTTATTTTATGTTTATTTGCACTTGGATAATGATGAGATAATTACAACAATTGTGGTATAATTCAAAAATAATTTTTCGTCTAACAAATGTGTTGTGAACTCATCATTGGACTCTAAATATAGTTAAAAGGTCTGCAAATTAGCAATTCATAGTTTTTTTGTTTGTTATTTGAGGATTTTTAGATTGTAGCAGTTATGAGAATGCTGACAAACCTATCATAGTTTATAGAATGTCCTCTGATTAATCTTATATATCTAAGTTATAGATGAATCACTCACAAAACTTAGGCACTTCACACGAAAGCTTGTACACAGATGAGTGGAGCGAAATTAATGTCAAATCGTAATAACACCACATTAATAATGACAGCATATTTCCTCATACAACTAATGAGTGCATAGTTTACACCATCATCAAGGTTTGAAACTATAAAGCTGGTGAATGGGCTCTTGCAACTATAGATATCCACAACTGTACATAGAAAGACATATACCTGTCTTGTAAGAAAATCCGAAAAAAAGTACTTACAGGAACTGTCCTTTTTGTTCACTGAGAAAGATCTACATTAATTTCCGTATTTCGTTCCATAGAGGCACACGTTGGATATCATCCTAACTGTTTTTGGAATAGGATTATTGTAGTATTTACACTTGTCATAGTTTTTTTTTTTCTTAATATCTAGATAGGGGTGCAAATAAGACTAAAAATCTGACACACACATCAATCCTGTCACACTGGATCGTGGGTCAGTCATCTCCCTTTCAGTAAATAGTCTAAAAAAAACATGATTTTACAAACTAAATCACTCATGTGACAAACTGCTGCAATTAATAAGATAGTAGTCTTTTAAGATTTGTGATTTAAAAAAGAGTAAATAGTACAGGCTCTTGGCAATACATAGGATTAGTATCTGGATGTCTGTGTGATTATTAACTGATTGTTCTCCTTACGCATCAAAGAACTTGTTAGGTGCTCTGGCTGCTAGGAGCCTCGAGTCCGACTTGAGGTTGAGGCCGAAGTCGTTGTCCTGGTTTGAAAATCTGTGGAAGGGGGAGAGGCAGAAGGGGGATTTGTGAATGGAAGTGGTTTTAAAGCTTTATGAATGGCTGTGCGTTTTGTGAATGGCTGAATATAAAAGTTGTGTATCTCTCTAAGCCTGTTACGGTTCTTAGATATCTATTAGGTTGTGAATTTTCTCTGATATATTTTGAAATGTGAGAAACTACGAGCTTGTATCCCATGTCGGTGATAATACGTGTTAAACTCTCTCTCTCTCTCTCTCTCTCTCTCTCTCTCTCTCTCTCTCTTTCTCTCTCTCTCTCTCTCTCTCTCTCTCTCTCTCTCTCTCTCTCTCTCTCTTCTGTTTCTCACTAACCCCTTCCTCCCCCTCCAATGCTCACCCTACCACCCCTTCCTTCAGCTCTCTACCTCTACCACTCCTAGCCCCTAGTCACCCACCCACCCATAAACACACCCACACACCCAAGAGCACACCCACACACCCCACCCACAAACCCAAGAGCACACCCACAAACCTACTCACCTACCCACGCACTCACCCACACACCCACAGACAAATCATTCACACACACACTCACTCACAAACCCATTCACTAACCCACAAACCCCTCACACACCCACTGACAAATCATTCACACACACAACACACACACACACTCACTCACCAACAAACCTCTCACACCACAACAAATCATTCACACACTCACCACCCACAAACCCACTCTCACCCACCTCTTCTTCCCGTCCTGCTGACTGTTGGACTGCTGCATTTGGCGGGTGTTGTGCCTGGAGGAGGTGGGCAGAGACGACGCGGCTTCGTCAGCAGCTGCCAAAGTCCTCGCCCTCTGCACCTTCTTCTTCTCGGCGGCCTCCTGCTGTAGCCGCTCCATGTGCTTCAGCTGGGCCTCGCGACGGCGGGTTTGCTGGGGGGTAGGGAGGAAAAGATAGGTAAGGAGAAAGGGAGGGAGAGGGTATGGAGAAAGAGAGAGAGGGATAGGGATAGGAAGAGAGAGAGAGAGAGAGAGAGAGAGAAGAGAGAGAAGAGAGAGAGAGAGAGAGAGAGAGAGGGAGGGAGGGAGGGAGGAGGGAGGAGGGAGGGAGGGAGGGAGGGAGAGAGAGAGGGATAGAGAGAGAGAGATAGAGGAGAATCTATGGTCATGCATATCTATCACAACAAAAGATTTATGATGATGATGCACAGTAAAGACAATAACGCTAGGCTTTACCATTTCAACAATATCAATCACAATACCTAAACCACACTAATCACAGAGAGAGAGAAAGAGAGAAAGAGAGAGAGAGAGAGAGAGAGAGAGAGAGAGAGAGAGAGAGAGAGAGAGAGAGAGAGAGAAAGTACCTAATAACAAATGCCTCTTTTACCTCTTCCTCTTTCCTCCTCCTCTTCTCCTGCTCTGCCTCATACTCCGCTTTCATCCTCTCCTGTTGCCTCTTCATATTCTCCTCCATCAGCCTGTCCTCCAATTCCTCCTTCTTCCTCTTCTCTTCGTCCAGCTGTTTCTTCATCTGCGCCTGCCAGTTGAGTTCTCCCTGAAGCTGCTCTGCGCGACCTCTCATCTGCGCGTCTCTTTCCTCCGAGGTCTTAGGTCACAGGGGGTCAAAGGAGGTCAAAAGGTCAGAAGCGTTGCTATGGTAATTTGGGTTTTGTTTGGTCACGTGACTGAGATATTTTTTTTGAATGGTCATAAGCGGGAATCATGGACTCAATGAAGCGGCATTTTTTATTTATTTACTTTTCTTTCTTTTTTTTGTAATTAATTGATGAATTTTAAGAATACACGAAATTAGATGTTTATCATATTTACGCGAAAGAAAATGGATTTAAAGGTAACTTACCTGAAAATAATCACCCACATCGAAAATTCTCTAAAACGTCATGTGTTTAATATAGCAATCACAGTTGCACTCAAAACTAAGGTTTATAACCACCTTTTCTACTTCAAACCAATCAAAATATTAATAGACAGACAATAAAATACTACTTTTAGGAAAGAAAGAAAATCTGCGAGGAACCACTTACCATATTTGGATGCAGACGAAATCCTCGACCACCTCCCCCTCCTCCTCCTCCTCCTCCTCCTCCTCTCCTCCTCCACCACCAAACGAGGGCTCATATCCACTGTAAGTAGAACTATGCATTATTTTCTGTCCAGTGCTTTTTTTTTCTTTACCTTTTTCCTTTCTTTTTTGTCTTTTTTTTGTCTTTTTGTTCTTGCGTTTCTTTCTTTTTTATTTATTTATTTATTTATTTTTTATTATTTTTTTTTTTTACGAATTATGAAATGGACGTGGAATGATGCATGAGTGCATTGCTTTGTTTACACCAAGAGGAGAGCTCATGTGACCTATCTCCACCTAGTTTTACATATATATATATATATATATATATATATATATATATATATATATATATAAGATTCAAAGTAAACTATATCGAAGTTTTGACAAAATAAACTATACTGAAGCCTATCCAAATAAACTGCATTTGAACCTTTTCTTAAGAATGAATATACTGGAGCCTTCTGTACAAATTTATCTATATTTAGGCCTTAAAAGTAAGCTATATATAGGCCTTCCTTTCAAAGAATCCTATATCTAGGGTTTTCTTTCAAAGTAAACTGTAAACAAACCTCCCTTTCAAAAATACCTACATCAAAGGCTACCCTTCAACACCACCTATACCAAGGCCTTCCCTTCAAAATAATCTATATGAAAGGCTCCCCTTTAAAGGTAACCGAATCTAACCCTTATGTACACGAATGCAATATAACGAAGAAAAGAACATCCAGCCAAACTAAGATGAAATGCTCATATAACGTTAAATTCCGCAGCGTTTCTGATAGTAAATTTCTTTAGGTGGATAATGTTATTACTGACGCTTTCCAGTGTCAACACCTGCGCCACTGTTATCTTTGTTATCTAGTTCAGTTATTCAAATGCACCCAATGTTGCAGAGATAAAGTAGGTGTTTGGTTTAAAACACGGATATCTCTACTAGATATATCTATGTATATAAATTTGATTGTATAAACACATATATATTTATTATATGTATCTATATATAACTTATTTCCATATATATGTATACACACACACACATATATATACCCCATCTATCTGTGTGTGTGTGTGTGTGTGTGTGTGTGTGTGTGTGTGTGTGTGTGTGTGTGTGTGTGTGTGTGTGTGTGTGTTTTTGTATGTGTGTGTGCTATAGACTGGCCCGTTTTTCTTTAGTCATAGGGCCACCGCCAAATACAAGAAAATGAATTTTTCTCCTACAGCTATATACATCTACAAGTACACATACTGCAATACTAATACAAATTGTCTGACGTTCCCGGAAGGACTATATTCCTATTATTATTTGAGTTCCTAGAAGAGTGGTACTATTATCATTACTTTTCCAGATCTCCAAGAACACGTAGCTGTAAAGTGCATCGCATGTTAGTTGGACTTTAGTTATGCAAAACTTGTGTCTAATTTCTAAAGTTCGGTGTATATAGTTTACTTCTTTGTGATATAATGCATATTGTTGTGTTTGTATGTTTGAATGTGCCCTGTGTGTGTGTGTGTGTGTGTGTGTGTGTGTGTGTGTGTGTGTGTGTGTGTGTGTGTGTGTGTGTGTGTGCGCGCGCGCGTGCGCGCATAACACCAATCATAAGAACAACGAATCCAGTATCACCACCATACCCTGCACCACCATAACCACCATAGCCACCTCCACCGCCAGCACCATAACCGCCGTTGCCGTAACCACCACCTCCGTAACCGCCACCATAACCGCCGCCGTAACTGCCATAACCGCCATAACCGCCGCCGTAGCCTGCCCCGGCTCCTTTAACGGTCGTGGCAGTTTCGTTAACCGTTATCGGCTTGCGGTTGGCGTAGTCTGTGCCGCCGTAGCTGTTGCGCCGCTCTGTGGGAGGGGGGGGGGGTAAGGGAGATGGATGGAGAGATGGGGAGATGGAAGGGAAGAGGAAGAGGGATGGAGGAGATGGGGAGATAGGAAAGAGGAGAGGATGGAGGAGATGGAAAAGAGAGATGGGGAGATGGAGGGAGAGGGAGAGGGAAATGGGATAGAGGGAGATGGAAGAGGGATGGGGAGATGGAGGGAAGAGGGAGAGGGATGGGGTGGGAGAGATGGGGAGAAGGAGAGGGCGGGGGAGCGGAGAGGTGTTAGAGAGATGGGATGAGGAGAGGAGGCGAGTAATGGAGAGGGATGGAGAGAGGAAGGATAGATTGGGGACGAAGGAAAGGAGAGGGAGACGGAGAGGTGGAGGGAGATGGGATGTGAAAAGGAGAAGGAGAGATGTGATTGGAAAAGGAAAGAAAAATAAGAAGAGAGAGAGAGAGGAAAGGAAAGAAGAGGTTAAGAGAAGAGAAAAAGTAATATAAGGATATAGGTGATGGGGAAAAAGAGAGGAAGAGAGGGAACGGATGAAAGTGAGGAATAAAAAAAAGACAAATAGACAGAGAAGTGAAAATTATGGGGAAAGAAGTATACGAAGAGAGAGAGAGAGTGAGAGATTACGAACACGACAAGTGTAAGAATAGGAAAAGGGAGAAGGATGGGGGAAAAGGAGAACGGAGATGGGATTGAACCGGAGGACAGACAGGGAATAAGTGAGAAAAAAGCACAGGGTGAGAATGGATACCGAAACAGAAGAAATAAGGATGAGAGAGAGAGGAAGAAGGGAAATTAATTAAATTTGGAGCTAAAAAAAATGTTTTATCACTTTGGTTTTCATATACTCGGTAGCTTAATTCTATTACATAATACGGCGTGTCCGAGGCGCGAAAAGACGAGGGGAGAGACAAGGAAAAAGAAACAATAAAAAAGAAAAACAAAACAAAATAATCGGTAACGGAAGAAGAAACATAAGAAGACACGAAAGAAATTGGAGAAAAAGAAAAAATGATAAAAGAAATTAACATAAACATAAATAGTATGGAAAAGTAAAACAGATAAAAAATAGAGAAAAACAAACAAAACCCAAAAAGAAGGATAAAACAAATTAAGATAAACAAAACAGTAGGAAAAGTAAACCAGATAAAAAAGGAGACAAAAGATAATCAAAAAAATACAAAACGACAAAACATTAGGAAAAGTAAAGCAGATAAAAAAGGGGAAAGAAAAGATGATGAAAACAACCCAAAACGACAGAGAGGAAGAGGCAGACCCGAACAGCACCGAACACGCACGCCGCCCCCGCAGCCGAGATCCTCACCGACGCCTCTCGCAGGAGCAGCTTCAGGATCTTGGAAGGAGGGCTCGTAGGTCGTCGGGATCCCCATGGCGGCATAGATCCTCTCATCTTCCTCTCTCTCTCTCCTCTTCGCCGCTTCTCTCTCGGCCACTTGCCTCTTCAGGTCTTCCAGCGCCTGTCGGCTCCGCTCTTGTCGGAGGGTGTCCCGCGTCCCTGCTTCAGGAGTGGGCGGGCTTTCAGAGGGGGTTGTCATTGTGGGTTTTCGGAAAGCGGGTTTTTATGATTTTTGTGAGTGGGTGGGTTGTCATTGTGGGTTTTCGAAAAGCGGATTTTTTTTCGTTTTTTCCCGTTTTCTTTATTATTGCTATTACTATCTTTCTATGATTTTACGTTTAATAATACTGGGGTAGATTTCTTTTGTTTTCGATATATATATATTTTTTGCTTTCTTTTCTTTATCGTTATAAATTATCCTTCTGTTATTTCACGTTTAATGATATTGCGGTATATATATATATATATATAATATATATAATATATATATATATATATATATATATATATATATATATTTATATTTATATATATATTTTGGATTTCTTTTTTTAATCGTTATTACTTCTATTACTTAACGTTTTATGATATGAGGTAGATTTCTTTTTCTTTCTTTATTGACTAATATGCAAGATGTATATACAAAGTTCTGATGGTATGAAAAATATAACTAAAGACAAACCCCCAAAAATAATCTCAAATATGCTACGACACATAATAAACAAAAACCAAAATAAACAAATAATGACAAAAAAAAAAAAAAAAAAACATATACCCAGCTTATACTGACCTGTATTATCGAAAATGGAAGATGTAGTGGCAATGTACTTATTCTGTGCCGCTCTGAACCTAGCGTTGTTTATCCACCCGTCGTCATACTGCAACATGTAAACAACCGAACCTCATTTAAACTATTTAATAGAATCTACTGTAATAGGAAAGAGGAAAGAGGAAGGTCTCGGAATTCTGTATTCTGTATCAGCGTTGTGAGGAGAATCTACTCTATACGGGGTGTGTTTTTTTAGGTTTATATGTAAAAATATATATATATATGAATATACATACATATACATATATATATATATATATATATACATATACATACATACATATATATATAAACATATATACATACATACATATATATACATAAATTAAATACATACATATATATATACATATATATACATACATACATACATATATATAATATATATACATATATACATACATATATATGTATAAACAGACACACAATTGATGTGTATATATAAACAAATACATATACATATATATATCTATATAATATAGTGAAAAGTTTCTACTGTGTCGAGATAAGACAGCTACTATTTTTACAAATACGCTAACGCAATTAATTAAGAGTATTGAAACGCATGCATAAAGAGAGGTTATTCGGTCCACTTAAGATGTCATACAGCGAGCTACTGTGACAAATATAAAGAGAGATAAACTGTTTTACATGGCAGCGCAGAACCACCTCAAAGTCACGTGCAAACTGAGGAATATCGATCCTCAGAGAAGAGCAACGAGTTTTGAAACCGTTACTGCAACGCATGCAAAAGAGGAAACGTTTTTTTTTTTTTTTTTTTTTTTTTTTGAAAAGGGGAAGAGCATAAATTCGGTATCCTT